GACAGTCTAAAGTCTATGTTAAAGTATGGGAGTTACGATTATCTTAGTGCTACGATTGCTTTGACGAACACGCAGACTATAGAATGATGCAGCACTAACTTAACAGGTCGGGATAGGTTCAACAAACAGCGAGGGTCTCTGTTTGATGATGATAATGTGAAATAAGCCAGGCTAAGGTGCACGGAAGAGGTGTTGTATTGGCAATGTTTTCCATTACTCGAGCTACAGGGAGGATGCTGCATCGGTTACACCATCCTGAAAGCCTCCCTGATAACTCAAAGTAACTTAAATGCTGCCTTTGGAATCTGACTGGCTGCCCTTAATGTAATCCAACTTACTAAGCCTCAAGCCATTAAGCTCCCTCGAATTGCTGTGTAATACAATGAAAAACTAATACATATGATTTTAGACTGATATGTCAATGATATGAGTTGAAATATTGTCAGTATGGATTTCACCTGTTTCCTTGATTAAAAATTGTTCTGTTACTTGACCTAAATTTTCTTGTGAACATTATGAAATATGCCCGCAATAATAAAACTGAATTAATACTGACCTTCACTAGTGCTATTTGCAGTGCTGTAAACATGTGCATATGAAGAAATGACCCCAAAGCAATTTGATTGGCAGAGCCACAGGGGTCGTCAAATGACATTATTTACACGTGTGATGGCAAGTGACAATTACGATAAATTTGCTTCACCTCCACTGAGAAGAGTGTAAAATATTCTTATAGGAGAAATATTACTTCAAATTTCACTGGTATCTTTCTCTAAATCAGTACAGCAGTTCCATAATACAAGTAGCAATGGAAACTGCATATTGCTGAATATTGTAAGGTTTGGTGACATTTGTTCATCACACATTTGTTAATGTACACACCACTCACAGAACAATCCTACAACACACATCGTCAAGGTAATTAAACAGTCACAGCATCAGCAACAGCATTTAAGGCATGAAAATATCTTGTATTTGACACTTGTGAAAATATTTGTGATAAAATATCAAATACAAATAACTGACAACACTGATGAAAGTAATACTAGTATATTACCCAAGGTGCAATTACTTTCAGTAATTCTTTATTGGTACTGAAAATGTTTGTCATGCGGATTGGCTATTGAGAATGTTCCACTGTTTTTGAAAGGGAAAAGCATAGTAATGTCATATGATGAACACACTGTTGTCAACATATGAAGACAACATCATCCACAAGTCCACACATGTGACAAAAGATTATGAGTGTATTAAATTTAATTCTCTCAATGTTGCTGTCAAACCCACTGACAGGAGAGTAGCATAATGACATCCCCAAATACAACTTGCAGTAACTATTTACAAGTAGGATTCCTTAGGATTTAAGGATTATCTGTGTCTTAAGAATTATCATTGAAAGCTCCTTGCTGAGGCTCAAAATTGATAAAAATAGCCCATAATTCCTTGTAGGGTATTCTCTCAGTCTCTGGTCACTCACATTGTTGTTCGTGCAAACAGGTTAAGGAACCAGTGATCAGCAGATCCTCACACATCTAAGGGATGCAACTGCACAACAAATTGCCCGTAGATCACTATGTGAACAGCGTCCCCCTTGTTTAGGAGGTATTCAAAGTATGCATTAAGATTTATATCATGACAAGTAGCCGCTAAATACAATATGTGATTCATAAAGTATGTTACTGAACCATTGAAAAAACGTCAGAACATTTGGCACTCATAAGGTAAGAATCAAGTGTTAATTTCTGACACAGAAAATTACTACAACATGATAAGTTAAAGATAAATCTAGAAATTATGCTGAAGTGTGATGCTTGACAAACACATGACATTAATGAAGACTTGACTTCTTGATATTATTAATGTATCTCCAGTCCACATATGGGCATACATATGGAATACAAAGGTGATCAGAGTAACTACTGGTCGTCCATGTCATACAGTCTGAATGAACCTTATATTTGTATGTGTAGGTGTGCCATATTTTTCAAAACAATTACTTATTAAGGAACAATGGATTTTCATCCAGCTGTATCCAAACTATCTCTTTATTGAGCACCAGCAAAAATTTATTTTCACCACTGAAATAAACATTTTAACACTTGAATACTTTCAACAAAACAAATTTCTAAATTTGTTTGCCATTGCCAAAGACTGACTGAGTTTAGTTTTACGCCGCTTTTAGCAATATTCCAAAAATATCACGGTGAGTCACCAGAAATGGCATCTCTGAACATGACATACAATATGAGTGACTAGGCACAAAGGACTCTTTGTAGCGAAAACACTGTATTGGGAACTCGTTTTCTTACACAAAGCATGCCTGGAAGCAGTGCTGGGACGGGAAGCAAATCGATACACCAATACTCAGTGTCCTGCTACCCAAAGTAAGTTTAGAGTTACTTCCCTTCATGACATGTGACAGGCATAGTCCAACCATATACAGATCTAAACAATGTGACTCAAAACACAAACTGGACCCTGTGTGGAAGTGAGTTCTTGAGATGGTGAGACATCCTCAATGTAGATTTAACTATTTACCGGTACATCTTATCACTAATAAAACACACAGCTACATTACATGGTCCATGGTGGAGGAAGACACACCTGATGTGACAGTGGTCAAATATCCTGGTCTCAGCTGCAGCCTGATCAAGAAGCTGACATTTTGTCTAGCAAGATCACTTACTGAAGAAATCATTACATGTGAAGAAACAGGATGAACAGAATGCTGATATTTTCCTTAAACCCTATGTTAAAACTATGGGTTATAGTTGTATGCATATTGTATTGAATGCTGTCAGTTACAAGGTCACATACATACAGGTGCGAGTAGTTAAAACCGGACTCAGATTGTAAATTGCTGAACCAACCTGGATACTGAGCAGGGGTGGAAATAACTTTAAAATTGCTAGTGTACTCTGGTACAGTGGCACATGTAAAATCACTTGCCCTGATAATTTTCCCACTATACCGGCTGTTTTCTTGTTGATTTTTTAAATAAACAACATAATTAACATTGGAAAGTCAAAACATTGGAAAGTCAACTGGACATGTGATATACAAATGGGTTATTTCCACCCCTGCTGAGGTGACCTGTCCCAGCCCTAATTGTGTAAATTCATTTTTATATATGCTCCTTAGACAGATCAGACATGTCTTGATTCCTCCACGAGCTTAACATCAACACAGTTCATTAACAAGCCGAAGTCCACAATTAACAGATTTTTGTTCAAACTTTCACACTTGTTGGTCCAGAACACTGTAGTGCCTATATCGCTATGACTCTCATTGTACAAATATGGAAGACAGATCATCTTAGTTCCACCACTGCGATGTATAGAACACAAGAGCTTATATAAGTTGAACTGCTGAACTTTAAGATGTGAAGTATCGAACAAGCTTAGGATCTGGCATGCCTATAAAGAATATCAGCTGAAACCATGAAGTCACACTGAAAACTTTGCAGACAATGGATGAATCACTTCAAAAGAAATATAAAGAAAAACAGATCCATCTTACAGTTGTATCCTGAAAAATATCTTTGATTGATTGCAACAATTTAGCGCTAATTTTTTCCTCTATTTGTTTGGTCTAATGGACATATAATTACGTGAATGGAATCACTCAACAGGAAATGACATCCTTCTGGCCTCTAAAAGAAATGCTATTCAGACATCACATACATGCCTGTTCGAAAAAAGTGTTCATTGCACTAAGATGTTTATACCCTTCATGCTTAAACACATCCTCCATAATCTCCAGGGTGTATGTTCCGATAAATCCCACTCCACTCCAGTACTAGGGACGTATACCCTGGAGATTATCGAGGATGATTTAAACATAGAGTTTCAACAATCACAGGTCAAGGATTTCTTAGTTGAATGGGACCTTGGCCTTGGTTAACAAAATAATCTTAGCGCTACAAACATTGATACTCCCATATTGTAACACAGGCTGAAGCTCTAAGACTGCTTTCTGAAACAGACCAGTACACTCATTCACAAGCTTGGGAAACAACTGTCTCCACTGATTTCATCCATAGTGAATGTTTCTAGTCCATGGTTGTCTTACCAATATTCATGTCTTATACATCATGGACACAGTCCTAAAAGTCGCTTATCCAGTAGTTCCGCAGTGTAATTTCATTAAAATCCAATCTGTTACTCTGATACAATGCATCTCAGCATGAAGATCTTACGTTTAGGGATCATTTCTATAGTATGCATTGCCATGACTTCAGGTGAAACTGACAGTCTACCAAACCTTGAGGAAATTAAAGTATTGCTAGGGTTCTAAATACACATTTTGAGTGAGCAAAGCATTCTTATCTGATTTCTGTATCTTGAAACTGAATGCACATGGTAAGGGCCTGGCTATCATATTGTGGCTATTTTATCATGTATCCTGTCCCTGTGTGATATTGATGCAATATTGTCAAAAGCCACATTAAACTACCGGTATACTCACTCACTCCTGTGGAGCGTTTGTCAGATCTTGATGCAGAGATTGGTGATACAGGAGCAATAGACCTGATTGTAATGAGATTGTACTGTACTGCATTAAGGGACCGTTCATAATTTATGTCTTGGGGTTTGTGATGATGATTTTTATGGGGAAGCATGTACCATGTGACTGACCCCACCTAAAGTTTATGCACAGTAAGTGACCCCCCCATATGTCATGTGCAAATTCAATGACAACCCCCCTCCTCCCACAATTTTTAAGCATAATTCTTTGAGATTTCTTTTGTACAAAATTGCTGCAAACACCCCCACACCCACACGCATGTGTACAAATTTGATGACCCCCACCTCTCAGAAAAAATGGGTGACACTTCCTTAAAATAATCATCACCCCCCAATCCATAAATTATGAATGGTCCCTAACTTTCATTTACTGCCCTACTACATGTGTGTGTCTGTCTATCTTTGGGTGTGTATGTCTGTCCATCTTTGGGTGTGTATGTCTGTCTGTCTGTGTCTCTGTGTGTCTGTCTCTGCAATCAGGAATATTCCAGCTATACAACAATGGCCTGTAGATAACCACACCTGGACATGACAATCTGGTGACTGTGAGCAGTGAACCATGTGATAACTTTTCATCATGTCACAGAGTCTGTTCAACTAATCAGTCAAGTCGTCTACCTCTACTTCCTGCATAGGATGCTTGTACCAGTTCTATCGGAGTTCCCATGAAACGTGTAATCTGATCACCGTAAAAGTAAGCCTCTGATGAAACTGTCAAATGTTCATCCTCCACAGATGTTTATGTTGGTTTTAACAGAAATTAAAAGCATGATTTGTGTCATCTACGCTCAAACTGGCTGGTAGCAGCTCTCCATATTGATGCGACTGAGGCAGCAGCTGATGACATTAGACTCCCAGCTGTTGAGTGTGTTGTGTTTGTGTTCATCTGACTCGAATATGCCATTGTATACACAGTTGAGGTCGTCCCAAGACCAGCTCGGGTTGGGACCTCGAGGTCGTGGGGCACACGTTCCCAGTCTATACCAATGTCTACCTCATCCTCAGATACAAAATGCTCCTCATCACTCTCCTCCGAAGTATTGCTGTCAGATATTGACTGAATCATGCTCTCGTTCACTTCAAATGCACAGATTCTGGAATACAGAAGGTTGGACGCAATTCAAAATGACTGAAGACAACAGGCTGTTAAAATATTCAGGTTTACATTCTGACATGAGGCCATGATAGACACCATAGGTAATATAGTTACTGACAAAGCTTAATATCTTGTAATTTGATTTTGGGAGAGCACATCTACCCAAGCACCTCTTTCACATTTAGAGTTTCTAGTCTTTGTCTAAAGGACTAGTGGCCATGTAGACCTAAGTACCTGCAAAGTACCTGTACATAAAAAGCAACTGAGAAATTCATTTGTAGCCATAGCTGTAGCAAATAATGTCAAAACATAAAACCAGACTATCTGTATGTTTTGTAGCATAAGGACTATTTTTATGGATATATATTATGGATCACTTGTCACCACTTGCTTGACAATGACAATAGAATCTAGGTCGAAACGTCACCTATGCAGAATAAAGAAGTTGTACATCCATAAAAATAGTCCTCATTCTTCATCTACCCAACTTCTAGAATGTCAATCAAAGAGGTTATATGTATTGTAGTCAGTGAACTAACTGGAAACCATACCTGCCAAAATCTGGACATTTCAACAGCATAACCACATTGTGGAGAGTGTGCCTTGGTATGAGAACAGCCGGGTTGACGTTCTGAGAGAAGCAGAGGTGAAGGACGTTATGATTGAGTCGTGATACAGCACTGGTGAGCTGCCTCTCGGAGAGATCAGACAGACAGAACTCGCTGTAGCATAACCTCCGGGGAAGACACACGTCCAGGATGTGTGCTATGACAGACACCAGCTGTGTTGTGTAACAGAGCGCAGCACTTATTGTGTGTCCGGGATTTCGATGTCCTGCCTCCTTCTCGGGAGCTGCACCATTCTCTTTGTTCTCAGACACTGAAACATCAATGTCTCAGTCATAACATGCCATCATTATTGGTTTCAAATTCTTGGAGTCTACTTATAGTAATGTATGCAATGAGATCAAAGCAAACAATTTCAATGCTGTAATAGAGAATGAAGAATATGATGGGTTTATCTTCAGGTCTAAAATGAGGTCAAGCTATCATGCAACCCAGGAAATAAAGAACGAATGTTTATTATAATTGGCTCCATCTTGGGGTTGCTCAAGAAACTGGAAACATGTTGTGCGTGCGACGTTAAATATAGCAAATAACAACAACTGGAAACATGGCTTTGAAATTAGCCTAAGGAGCTTGTCATGCTTACTGTGGACAGGCCACATGAATGCTTGCATTGGTAACTCACCCCACACATTGTAAGCTGAGTAGTCTCCATTTCCTGGCAGGGAGGGTTCCACAATCCTGTGTCCAGTGTCTCCACCATTGTCTGTGTACACCCAGTGGCCCCTCACAAATGTAGTCTGGCATGCCTCTTTCAAGGCACTCACTGTGCTCATAGCCAGGTTCTCTGTCTCACTGCAATAGCAACACAGTAAACAATAGTTCCCTGTCTCACTACACTGGCAACAGAACAGTAAACACAAGTTCGTTGTATTAATGCAACAACATGTATTAGTAAACAATAGTTCATCATCTAATCATGCTCACTTGCATAGCAGCAAGTAGTTAAAAATCATAAAATCTTTACCAATGCCCAAAACCAACTACAGCAATCCCAAAATATGGTAAAGGCAGTCTAAGTAAACTCAGGCTCAATATTATTCATTACACTGCTATATTGAGTCTAACAAACCCTTGCAGAAAGTCGTGTCAGCTAACCTGTAGGCCTATACCAGGCACACTACAGTACCCCTGTCAGCAAGGTCTCACCTCCCAGGCCTATACCCAGCACACTACAGTACCCCAGTCAGCAGGTCTCACCTCACAGGCGTATTACCCAGCACACTACAGTACCCCTGTCAGCAAGTCTCACCTCACAGGCCTATACCCAGCACACTACAGTACCCTAATCAGCAGGTCTTACCTCCGAGCTCAGGCCTCCACTGCGGGTCAGAAAATCGATAACCTAGGCCCCGGTTTAGTATCAACACCCCCTACTATATAATACATAAAGGTTCATCACAGAAATACAATGACATGATCGAAAACCGGACAATTACGCACATGTCAATGAATATATCGTATTTTAAAGGTCTCACAAGTATCAAAAGCTTTTGTCCATATCTCCGATGTATGTAGGAGGCATATACATGCGCTTTCCGTGGGGATGCATTTGATGGGTTTTATTAAATCGCCAAAGACCGAGTTGCTGTGCGGAAGTGTACAAAACTAGGTCACAAGCGCCAATCAAATTGGTTAATAAAATGACAACAAATGCACGTCTGAGATAATGAGAGGGAAACTCAAGCGTCTATCATCCAAGATGTCACTATCTGATGTTTTATCTTGGTAAGAATAATTTTAAAACAGTACAAATATTTTTAAAGAAACACATTCATTCAGAGTAATGTGTTAGCCAATCAGATCGCCGGAGGTAGTGAAGTCAAGCTGGCGAGCTAGTTTTGTATACTTCGGCACAGCAACTTGGTCTTTGGCGATTTAATAAAACCCATCAAATGCATCCCCACGGAAAGCATGTATATGCCTCCTACATACATCGGAGATATGGACAAAAGCTTTTGATACTTGTGAGACCTTTAAAATACAATACATTCATTGACATGACGTAATTGTCCGGTTTTCGATCATGTCACCGTGTTTCTGTGATGAACCTTTATGTATTTTATAGTACTCAGTAGTAGGGGTGTTGATACTAAACCAGGGCCTAGTTTATCGATTTTCTGACCCAGCACACTACGAGGGCCCAGTGCCTCCCAGGCTCTATACCCAGCACACACTCAGTACCCAGTCAGCAAGTCTCACCTCCCAGGCCTACCCAGCACACTACAGTACCCCAGTCAGCAAGTCTCACCTCCCAGGCCTATACCCAGCACACTACAGTACCCCAGCAAGTCTCACCCCCCAGTCAGCTCAGTCAGTCAGCTCTTACCTCCCAGGCCTATACCCAGCACACTACAGTACCAAGTCAGCAAGTCTCACCTCCCAGGCCTATACCCAGCACACTACAGTACCCCAGTCACTCAGTCAGCAGCTCTTATCTCCCAGGCCTATACCCAGCACACTACAGTACCACAGTCAGCAAGTCTCACCTCCCAGGCCTATACCCAGCACACTACAGTACCCCAGTCACTCAGTCAGCAACTCACCTCCCAGGCTTATACCCAGCACACTACAGTACCCAGTCAGCAGGTCTCACCTCCCAGGCCTATACCCAGCACACTACAGTACCCCAGTCAGCAAGTCTCACCTCCGAGGTCTATACCCAGCACACTACAGTACCCCAGTCAGCAAGTCTCACCTCCCAGGCCTATACCCAGCACACTACAGTACCCCAGTCAGCAGGTCTCACCTCCCAGGCCTATACCCAGCACACTACAGTACCCCAGTCAGCAAGTCTCACCTCCCAGGCCTATACCCAGCACACTACAGTACCCCAGTCAGCAGGTCTCACCTCCCAGGCCTATACCCAGCACACTACAGTACCCAAGTCAGCAGGTCTCACCTCCCAGGTCTATACCCAGCACACTACAGTACCCAGTCAGCAGGTCTCACCTCCCAGGCCTATACCCAGCACACTACAGTACCCCAGTCAGCAGGTCTCACCTTCCAGGTCTATACCCAGCACACTACAGTACCCCAGTCAGCAGGGTCTCACCTCCCAGGCCTATACCCAGCACACTACAGTACCCAGTCAGCAGGTCTCACCTCCCAGGTCTATACCCAGCACACTACAGTACCCCAGTCAGCAAGTCTCACCTCCCAGGTCTATACCCAGCACACTACAGTACCCCAGTCAGCAGGTCTCACCTCCGAGGTCTATACCCAGCACACTACAGTACCCAGTCAGCAGCAAGTCTCACCTCTGAGGTCTCTATACCCAGCACACTACAGTACCCCAGTCACTCTCAGCAGCAGTCTCACCTCCCAGGCCTATACCCAGCACACTACAGTACCCCAGTCAGCAAGTCTCACCTCCGAGGTCTATACCCAGCACACTACAGTACCCCAGTCAGCAAGTCTCACCTCACAGGCCTATACCCAACACAGGCCTATACCCAGCACACTACAGTACCCCAGTCAGCAGGTCTCACCTCCCAGGCCTATACCCAGCACACTACAGTACCCCAGTCAGCAGGTCTCACCTCCCAGGCCTATACCTATACCCAGCACACTACAGTACCCCAGTCAGCAGGTCTCACCTCCCAGGCCTATACCCAGCACACTACAGTACCCAGTCAGCAGGTCTCACCTCACAGGCCTATACCCAGCTCACTACAGTACCCCAGTCAGCAGGTCTCATCTCCCAGGCCTATACCCAGCACACTACAGTATCCCAGTCAGCAAGTCTCACCTCCCAGGCTTATACCCAGCACACTACAGTACCCCTGTCAGCAGGTCTCACCTCCCAGGCCTATACCCAGCACACTACAGTACCCCAGTCAGCAGGTCTCTCCTCCCAGGCCTATACCCAGCACACTACAGTACCCCAGTCAGCAAGTCTCACCTCCCAGGCCTATACCAGGCACACTACAGTACCCCTGTGTCAGCAGGTCTCACCTCCTGAGGTCTATACCCAGCACACTACAGTACCCCAGTCTGCACATCTCACCTCTGAGGCCTATACCCAGCACACTACAGTACCCAGTCAGCAGGTCTCACCTCCCAGGCCTATACCCAGCTCACTACAGTACCACAGTCATCAAGTCTCACCTCCGAGGCTGAATCTCCTTGACAGAGAAGATACACTGCACCAAGATGTCCACATGGAACCTGCGGTAGTTCTTTAAGCTCCTCACGTCAGTGGTGAGGCTGACATGTTTCTTCCCCATGGCGCTCTGTGCTGCGTCAACGTACCGCCTCAGCCTCGTCATCTTGTCCTGATGACGCAGAGAGTCCTTTTCCCCCTTTCCATTCTTCACCTTCCGCCTCTCTAAAACTTTCTGGTCTGAATAGAAAGTGGTCACTTGCAGCATACTGATTACACCTCTTCAATACCCAACACCCTTATCAATACCATATGAGCCTACACACTGTTTTCCTCAATCACCCATGAATATGAATATTGGAATAGATGAGTCTAAATTATTACCAGGGCATCTGGTGCCCTATTACCCATTCTCATGTGGGTACCCACTGTCTGATTGTTGCCTGTCTTAACAGAAAATATATATGTGCAGTTGACAGAAGCTTCGACTTTCTGTCAAACATGTAACAGTCGGAAGGAATGTATTCATTGTGAAGAATAAATATAAACATTTGCAACTTGATGAGTGAGTACAAAAGTGTCATTGTATAACAATATATCATATGATCCAAACAGGTCCAGATACATATGATCCATCAGATCCAAATTGTTCATCCCAGCCTTAGTCGCTACACATGAATCAAGGGGCGGTGTGGTGACCTTGTGGTTGGCTCATCACGCCAAAGACCCGGGTTTGAATCCCCACATGGGTACAACATGTGAAGCCCATTTCTGGTGTCCCCCGCCATGATGTAGCTGGAATACTGCTAAATGTGGCGTAAAACCAAACCAAACTCACTCACTCACACGTGAATGAAGCCACGATCCTTACCACGCTACTGGCAGTCAAGGGACAACTACTGATGGTGCAGGATACATGTGATCAATAACATGACAAAGCTGGTAGAAAACATCAGCTCAAAAACAGAAGACATCATTACCATCCTCAGTTTTTCTTTTTAACAGCTCGATGGAAGATTTCAGCAGCTCGATTTTCCTCTTGCACTCCTCGATTTCTGATCTCTGAAGATAATGTAACCACATTGATGTATCATGTTTTAAGTCCATGAAAACAAACAAAAAATCTCAAAAAACACTATTTGTACATTAAATTCCTGTACTTTTAATAAAATCCACCTAAAGAGCACATCCATGATCAAAGGAGCCAGTGAGTTGATACTTAAAGTTCACGTTATTTCAGTTAAAGATTCTGTCCACTTTCACCCACAGCATGTAGTTAGAAGTGCTAAACTTAATACATGTGATCTGACCAAACCTTTAAGGGTCAGTTTTCTAAATTCTAGGTTGAGCAACAATGAAAATTATTCTTTCACATCACATGGCAGAAAACTACTGAATGAAAGTCACAGATACTCAATAGAAGAATAACAATCACAAGTAATACCAACCTTCAAGTCTCTTTGATGTTTCTTGGCAACTCTTAGCTTTATTCTGAAATTCATAAACATGTGAAGATGACACATAATTTATAACATCAAAATTCTGATGAAATCAAACTTTCATCAAATTATGACAAAAACTTTGAAAACAAATGTTTCCATAACAAAGGATACTGAGGAAGACCTGATTTGCAAATCAAGCTGGTCAACATTATTGTAAAATAACCCTAGAAATTTGGAGAAACAATTACTTCAACTCGTGTTAGTCAGTATGACTGTGAGAAGGCTATGTCAAGGTATGAGAGTGGTGAGGTGAGGAGAAATTGGGTTTAACGTTGTGCTTGAGAATATTTCACTCATATGACGATGTGCATGCGTGTGTATGTGTATGTACGCCTGTTTGTACTAGCCCAGACTTAAGTTGGTTTTATAGTGCTAGCTCACTGAGATACCATGCCGTAGTGAAGCATGAATACCCCACTCAGACACATTATACAGACTCCAAGCCGACCAGTCCTTGTTGTACCCATTACTGCGGAGCACCAGGCAAGGACCAACAAGTACCATATTTTAACGTCTTTTGGTATGACGCTGTCTGGGATCGAACCCGCGACCTTCCACTCTCCGGGCGGACGCTCTAACCACTACACCATGGAGGCAGTCTGGTATGAGAGTGACAATCACCTTGTTACTAAGATTGCTTTGTACAACGGCACCCAGGCTTTTAACAGAAAAATCTTTCCTGAAGCATCCATATAAATTTATACCATAATTAGGTTCAGAACAGATATTTTGATACTGTGTATTGATTTCTCATGAGCAAGAGACAGTCTGTGCTAAGTTTATCATAACAGAGACAGAGATGACCCATTCGAACCAGTGCTGTAATGGTGTAAAGTTTACAGTATTTACCATTGTAATATAAAAAAGTAATGCACTAATTAACTGAGGATGAATGTTGCATCATAAGACAATCATAACAAATTTTATTAAATACTACCTAAATCTACACTATTGACACCAATGCTGATATTGGAATTGGGACCAGTAAAATTATGGGGGTGTTTGGTGATGATCAAAGTAATCTAAGTTTGTACAATGTTTTAGAGCAACATCAGAATTCCTGTAAACTCTCAACAGTACCCCAGTCAGCAACCTAAACAACCCTGCATGGTACAGAGGTTACTGTGGTTACAATCTTCACTAGTTTCTCATTCTAATTATGCATGTAGTTGTCCTTTGATTTGAGTTGTTTGTTGTTTAAAGCCTCACTCAGCAATATTCCAGCTATATGGCAGCAGTCTGTGAATAATTGAGTCTAGACCAGACAATCCAGTGATCAACATCATGGGCATTGCTCTGCACAGTTGGGATACGATAGCTTGTGTCAACCAAACCAGAGAGCCTGACCACCCGATCCCAATAGTCGCCTCTTACGACATGAGATGCTGAAGACCAATTCTAACACCTATTGAAGCATAAAACAATATGGATGACAACTTCTTGTGTTCTTACATGGAGACCAAGCTATTAACTTGATAACAGTGCAAGAATCGACACTGATATGCCGCCATATGTAATAAACAAGAAGTCATCCATTTTGTATGCTTCATAATTGACTCACCAACTTCTGGAATGACAATCAAACAATTATTTCTAACCCGTACGGTTTGCATCTAATGAACCACTGACAAACTGTGGCAAGTATCAAACACTGACAAATGCCTAAACAATTTAATATGAAGACTTTAGACCGTATGCAGACCTGTCATAAGTTTGAATCAGTTTTAGGAAAACATATAAAATGTTCAACTCTACTCAAAAAATATCAAGAGGTTGATCAAACACTTTTCAGCATGTTCAGGAAAGAAACTTTTGAATAATCATCCAATTTGTAATTTCATTTTTCATATGCGGTATTAACATGATTAAGTAATCTGTTGCATAATATCCCACATCTGTCAGTGTCAAGCATTCATAACTCTAACTGTCAGGTTGGATAAATTTTCATTTGATCTGTAACAGTCATGTTTACTTTTATAAAAAGATAATCAAACTTCCATCTTATTCATAGCTATATATCATATGTCCTCATTAACTTGAAGAAAGACTGACACAGTCATCGATTCTCATTATTATTCAACACAAAAACATCTTTAAACTTTTGAATTTATCACCGAAAAAGAATACAACTGCATAATCTGCCTTTACTTGAATGACCCAAGACAGTGACATCTCATTATCCATCCCTAAGCATGCATATTTATTGTGCCTATGTTTGAGAGAAATGATAGAATTTATGTGAAAGTGTCATTTCTAGACATTTATCATGTTATGTATGATGCATCATTACCATGACAGGTAGAAGTTCTGTCAGGTTCACTGCATATGCTGGAGCAATTTTATACAATAAAACTGACATTTAACTTCTACTGAGAGCGAGACATGTGGTTTTCACTCAGTACAGTGCAGACACTGGTTGTCTATAAATTAGGGCTGTAATGATGCATCGAACTATCGATGAATTGCAATTGTTGAGTCTCCGATAGTAATTGATTGATGGTAGAAACGAAAAACGTATGTGTGACTATCGATGGTTTAGGAATTGACTTCCATTGATAAATACGCAGCATAAATACAGGAAGTACCAGATTCGTTCACTTTGAGATTTTATTGTTTGGGTGCAGACTTGCAGTTTCATTGAGTTTATGTTTAGACTGTTTACTTGATCTGGGTTTCAAGCGACGTCTTGGTGTCTCACCCTCAAATGACTTCAAATGACACAATTCAAGGAGAAAAAAAACTATTGCAATAGTATTGCAAAAGTTGGTCGCAATAGACTGCAATAGTTGTTTTCCCCTCAATAGTCACCCCTACTATAAATGTTCATCAAACAGTTTTGACGGTTATCAACTGTGTGTTTTGATTCTTTGTATGTGGCACCATGTGATATAACTGACTGACTGAGTTTGGTTTTACGCCGCTTTTAGCAATATTCCAGCAACATCACGGCGGGGGACACCAGAAATGGGCTTCACACATTGTGCCCATGTGGGGATTCGAACCCGGGTCTTCCGCGTGACGAGCCAACGCTTTAACCATTAGGCTACCCCACCGCCCCCCATGTGATATAAACTAAAAATGACATGCAAAATATTTACTCATCTACATGGTGAAAATGTCTAGTCACAACAATAATATTTTAATAAGGATAATGTTGAATATGAACATAGAGATTTTTCTGGGTTACATCTTCTTTTTATTCTCGAGTACAACGTTTCAGGGCTTGTTCTGGCCCCATCATCAGGTAAACTGAACAGTAACTGTTAACTCTGGCCGTGACGTCACAATGCTTATGACGTCACAATGCTATGACGACGCAATACATGATGTCACCACAGTCACATTTTAGTTTATACACACAGCCTTGTGAAATGTGAAATGTGACTGTGGTGACATCTACATTGGTGAGACAGGCAGACCAGTAGCTACACGTGTGAAAGAGCACAAAACTTCAGTGGACAAATCAGATCTAAAATCTGCAGTTTCTGAACACATTATGAATAATCCCGATCATGAAATTGACTGGGAAACTGAAGTCCTCTCAAAAAACATCAGTGCCTGGCGTAAACGCAAGTTGATTGAAGCTATCTTCATCAAACGCACAAAACCAGCAATAAACAGGGACCAGGGTGTCTACCTCCCAAATGCATGGTACATAAAACAATAAGACAATACCCTACCCTTGTCACTGTTCCCATGTATAAAGCATAATTTCTATGTATACACTGCTATTACTTTACATTCTATACATTTATAAATACGTCTCTGTACATTTCTAATTCAATCAACAATTTTGTATAAGTATCTGCACAGTTCTAAATTGATCCATTAATTTTGCAGTAAATGACATCTTATATATTCATAATAACATGTATTCTATGAGCCATGTCATCTGTATCTATTGACCACCACATGTATTGCGTCGTCATAGCATTGTGACGTCATAAGCATTGTGACGTCACGGCCAGAGTTAACAGTTACTGTTCAGTTTACCTGATGATGGGGCCAGAACAAGCCCTGAAACGTTGTACTCGAGAATAAAAAGAAGATGTAACCCAGAAAAATCTCTATGTTCATCAAATATCATCTTCTAAAATGCCGATCAAGCATCTAATGTTGAATATGGTATTACATTTAGATTTGCAGACTGATGAGATTGAGAATTGCACGTGAACTAACATTTGCCAGAGGTTTAAAAGGTTAAAATGTTTATCCATCAAATGCAGTACTCAATGACATCTGCACATTGTAAACACATAATGTTTATCACTTTCCTTAATAGCATAAACATTATTAAAACTGTTATATCTGCAGCACTATCTCTACGTGAAATCCCACATTTGTGAGACAGACTTGACACCTCCCAGGAATGCCATGACACTGCACTTGAAAGCCATGACGTCATGACACAATGGATGACATTCACATGCTTCCAGATGATGGCTCTCTGGAATGCCATGACACTGCACTTGAAAGCCATGATGTCATGACACAATGGATGACATTCAAATTCCTTCCCTGGCATAATGTGGACAAAAGCCAACACAATCAGACAATGGCACCTTCACAGTCTGCCAGTAGCCTCATGGGAGTTGGAAGTCTACAGCCTTGGTATAGTGTTTCTAAAATTCATAATAATTTTATGACAGATATATATTGTATGGATCAGTCCTCACATTAATGTCATGGCTCCTTCCATTCATGCTTCACATCACAGTCTATCAACAGGGGTGGACACCAATGGCCACTTCTAACTAGTCCGCTCAGTCATTTCTCACATGTTGTTTATGCAACAAATTATACACAGCTTCGTTTTGGAAGAAACTACTTGTCATTCAGAATGACAACTAGTGAGTGAGTTTAGTTTTATGCCGCTTTTAGCAATATTCGAGCAATATCACGGCAGGGGACACCGGAAATGGGCTTCACACATTGCACACATGTGGGGAATCGAACCCGGGTCTTCGGTGTGACGAGCGCACGCTTTAACCACTAGACTACCCCGCCTCCGAATGACAAGTAGTCTCAGTCTTAAGGACTAGTGAATGTGTCTATCACTGATCAAACAGTTTATTTATTAGAAGGTTTGAAAAACCAAAGGTGAACCCACATCCTGGATATATACTACTCACACTTTACTATACTTAACATCATGTAAACCAAATCAGGTAACAATATTATCACTAGTGTTGGGAATTGGTTCAAATCTCACAATTGATGATTGGTTCAATACCAACAACCAATCATCGAAAATAAATTGGTTAGCGTCATTTTTTAGATTTTCCTATTCAGGTTGTAGTTGGAGATAAGTATAAAGAAAAAAACATTTGGTTCTCTGTTGTTGTTTTTAGAAACTGCACAAATTACATTTGCAGATTTCACACCCAGTTTAAAATGATTCAGTTCCAGTGTAACAGGGCAATGGGGTAGCCTAGTGGTTAAAGCACTCGTCGTCACGCCAAAGACCCGGGTTCGTTTCCCCACATGGGCACAATGTGTGAAGCCCATTTGTGGTGTCCCCGCCGTGATATTGCTGGAATATTGCTAATAACGGCGTGAAAACCATACTCACTCACTCACTCCAGTGTAACATTAACTTCCCAGATTCTTCAAGAAATATTCAGGCCCTGACAACGTCCTAGATATGTTCCATCATCAAGTATTTCAAACTCTATTACAGCGGTTCCAAAATCATTTGTGTTCGATTATGAGAAAATGTGATCGATTGCTTGCTTATTACTAATTATCACCATCCTAAATTTTCAAGAATATTAACGTCTACTTCATAAACAGCAACCCTGACCAATGTGTGAAGCCCATTTCTGGTGTCCCCCACCGTGATATTGCTGGAATATTGCTAAAAGCGGCGTAAAACCAAACTCAGTCACCCACTCCTTTATTCTCTGTTGAATTTAGCTGCATTCTGTTGTGAAAAATACCCTGGACCCATTCGTCACCCTGGTTGTGTTTTGGAAGCCTCTCATCACTAACTTACCCAACCATTTCTTTCATCACGATCCTCTGAAATTCATGCAAACATACAAAGGACAAGCAAAACTACTATGATGGTATATTCACAGACCAAACCAAAAATATGCATTAATTTTCCCCAATAAGTCATATACACATGGTATATACATTTTCTACCTTCATCATAGTTCATGCAGTGTTTGAAATTAAGACAGGTACTTGGGTGCACACGGTTTCCTGCCACATTATATGAGAGCAGGGAATCTTGAACTTTTAACATTGTGATTATCAAGATTATGACAAGGTTTCCTGATATTCATGCTTAAAAACAATGGAACAGAAATGTCTTTTGATTCAAAGTCAATCACAAAAATGGCGTGTGCTTTGGAACAAATTTGTGTGAACAAGATCACTTTCGATAATCTTCATATCCAGGGAATGTCATTTCACGAGAAGCAACTGTGAGCTAGACAATCATGAGCTGTTACAAGTTTAAAAGTAGTTCCCTTCAGTTTCATTGAGCTTGAAAATATTCTGTCAAGGTACTCAGTATTTTCACTGTTGACAAAGCTCAGTCGTTTAGCTGCTGGGCTAATAATCCAATGTGTGTGAGTTCACACCTGATAGAATCTCACAAAAACATGTTGCTTGTCCTAGTGACATTTGAGCTAAGGAAGAGAAAAACTGCAAGAGGCGATTTCAAATATTTTACCAACTTTTCATATGACAATCACCTAGCTATCTCATATGCAAATTCCAAAAAGAAAATGTCTTTATGACATTTTTTTAATGACAATAATGTCAGTAGATGGACAGATCTGAAACACTGATAAGTAAGATGTCATAACACACAGAAAGATGTCATAACACACAAATATAGTAATGACATATTCATCTTATCTCTATCACAATCACTCTTACTGTATCAGAAGTATTTTTCTGGCAGACTTTCAATCTTTGATCACTGAAATTGTATTTGCTATTTGTTCCTGTGAATTTGGATATTTTACAAAATGAAAAGCACACAGACACATCTTTATGTTGATCGTGGAAGAAATGTTTCATCATGTTTATTTGTGATGTTATAAATAGCCATGACACAACTGTTGTTAATATTTTTCAAATTGTTTTACTGTGATATACAACAGATGCCTACCTTTCTTGAAGTTCGCTGCACTCCTTCTTCTTAGTCCTCCACTTATCTTCTCTTGCATGGAAACTGTAAATTACAACCAAGTGTAAACAAAAACAACAGAGAACAAAGGCATCTGACATATCAAAACAAAACCCAAGCCAGCGTTACCTCTCTTGCAAATTCGACGATGAATGCACGAAACTGCCTTTGTTGACGCAACCTGAGCAGTAAAATGGTCTCCTAGATGTTGTACAGAGTGGACAGCGTTCAACAGCTACGGTCAGACTATCAGAACTTTCAAAAGATGTTGGTAACAAGAAATCAACAGGGGCTAGACTGCTTTCGCAACTGGAGGCAGCCATGACATTACGTCATGTGGGTTTGTTTACCACACGGAATTGTGGGATAGCCACCTATAAACAAAGAGTTACTTCCCTTTGATTATGCGCATTACACAAATGATGTGTTCTTCATAATAATATGTAAACGTTAATGAACCGGATTGGGCATACGAACAGATAGCTAATGTAACACACATTTTCATATTTTAAATAACACCCATCTTGACGCTGAACAGATCGAGGCCTTTTGCACATTTTTTATTTCAACATTTTATGTCAAGACCGTCCTTTTACTTTCCCTCCCTCTACTCTATTTTTGCAAGACCGATTTAGCCTTCAGTCGACACATAGTTTATATCATCAATAATAATTTACCTTAAAATGCTCACAAACAGAACATCCCATAAATGGAGCATTAATCTAAATTACTGTTCGGGGCGGTGGGGTAGCCTAATGGTATATATTATAGCGTCCGCTCGTCACTCTGAAGACCCGGGTTCGACTCCCCACATGGGTACAACGTGTGAAGCCCTTTTCTTGTGTTCTCCGCCGTGATATTGCTGGAACATTGCTATAAGCGATGTAAACCATACTCACACACTATTACTGTTCAAAGCAAACCACGTTAGATCTACAGCAACATTGTAGAGGTTCTACCGATTGTTCTAATTACATGTGAATTCAGCTAAGGGCACTCCTTGCGAAAATCGACTCAAATGACCAACCCACAAAAGTTCTCTCTCTCTCTCTCTCTCTCTCTCTCTCTCTCTCTCTCTCTCTCTCTCTCTCTCTCTCTCTCTCTCTCTCTCTCTCTCTCTCTCTCTCTCTCTCTCTCAATATATATATCTAACACCTATATTACACTGTATTTAGACACCACTCGACACCACTGCTTGGTGAACAGAGGCATATTTCATGACAAGTCATTAAGGAGACGTATGCAGGGTAGGACCGAAGCCTTTAAAATCCTCGAGTAACCCATCACATTATTCTCCCATACCAAAGCTGCTTATGCAACTTCGCCTGATTTGTGACCCATGCGCCTCAAACGAGACTTTGGTCATACAAAGTAATAAATATGTATGAGCCATGCATAAATTACGAGCAGTTTTTACACAACGTCGTTCCTGTATTAATTTAAAAGACCCTCTCGCTAACGTGCTCAGTCATCCATTTCATGTAACCTGGATCATTGAAATTACCCAATCTAAATAATACATCTCGGTCGCTTAGCAGGAAATATTTGAGTTAATGTCGATTTGACGAGGATCATAATCATAGCGAGTATGTGATCCCCACCCACGATCATGTGATCTTGGCCCCAGCAGAAGGAATACATGGGAGGAAATGTTGAAGTGGCGGAAGTCAAACCGAGAAACATAAATTGGTTTTAAAGGATGCCTCTAGTCCATTAACATGAATAATAAAATATAAATATGACACACTGGATAATCTAAGAGCATACAATGATAAATGCCATAGAGTTTGTAATTAGGTAAATGGCGTTTTGAAATATTTGAATCAAACTTGCAAAAACAATGCTAATCAGAAAGTGCTTAAATGTAACATATGTATGCTTGGGGTAACACTTTCTCGGTAAATCACCTAATCGCCAGCACACAAAGCCATCCATCTAACCCACTCAGCCACCGTACTTTCCACAAACAAGGGAGTTGGACAACTGGTAGTCTAGAATCACGGACTTTGTGTACCCCTGTGACAAGTGTAAATTGGCACTGCTCCCACGGCCGATCCCGAAAACTATGAAAACACAATGCAATTTTGAATCAAGTTTGCTTTGTAGTGGAGTTTCCCAAATTAAAGGTAGCCAGAGTGCTCTCATTCCAAGTGCTGCTTATTCCAAAATGTTTACGTCAACGGGTCGTCAGTGGCTGTTATCGCAAGTGAGTAAGTATAGTTTTACCCCGTTTTTAGCTCTGTTCCAGCAATATCATCGCAGGGAACATCAGAAAGGGGCTTCACACATTGTACCCATGTGGGGAATCGAATCCGGGTCTTCGGCATGATGAACGAACACTTTAACTAACCACTAGGTTAACATACTCACTCACTCACTCGAGCTTCAGTCACCTCGACCAGTGTTTTACGTATTCAACGTATGGACGAGCATTATCCGGTGACAACGATTTGTTAATCCTATCTAGGAGTGAGTGAGAGAGTGAGTAGGGTTTTACGCAGCTTTGGGGTTTTTTCGTTCCACAAAAATATCTTATTAAGGTGATCGTAAATCACATACATTAACATAGGTTTACGGTCGTCTTAGTGCTAAGATCGCTGTTTGGAACGAGGAATTGTCAAAACCATTGCTTGTCACATGGAAACTAGCCTCGTCCGTAATTTCAGCGCGAATAAAACGTGTACTCCCGAAAATAATAAGCGACGACCAAAAAGGCTTCATGAAAGGTAGATACATTGGCGAATGCACGAGATTGGTCAGTGACATTATGGTATATACAGACTATATGAATATACCAGGATTACTGATAATGATAGACTTTGAAAAAGCTTTCGATTCCGTGGAATGGTCTTTTGTTGAGAAATGTCTTAACTTCTTTAATTTTGGACCATCAATCAAACACTGGATTAAAACATTTTACAACAACATAAATTCTAGCGTTTCAATAAATGGTTTTGCATCAGACTTCTTCCACATTACTAGAGGCTGTAGACAAGGTGATCCTCTATCGCCATATCTATTTCTCATAGTCGCAGAAATCCTTGCTCACATGTTACGTCAAAATAACAAAATAAAAGGGATACAAATGTTTGACTTAGAATATTTGCTAACACAGTTCGCAGACGATACAACTATAATCTTAGACGGGTCTGAACGTTCTTTTCAAACAACATTAGAAGTGCTTAAACAATACGCATCCCTCTCTGGTCTTAAAATAAACATTGATAAAACTAAAGTATTGTGGATAGGTTCTAAACAATTCTCAAGTACACAGTATTGCAGAGACTATAATCTGGACTGGACGCAAAGACCTTTCAAACTGCTAGGTATCATATTTCAACATAATAAGGCAGAAATGGTGGAAAGAAACTATAAAGATAAACTAAAGAAAATGGATAGATTAATGAAACTTTGGTCACTTAGAGATCTCACACCATTCGGCAGAATAACTATCCTGAAAAGCCTAATATTGCCCACACTTAATCATCTATTTTCCTCACTACCAAACCCCAAAATGAATACAATTCAAATGATCCAGAAAAAGATCTTCGCATTTATTTGGAGAGGCAAACCAGACAAAATAAAAAGATCTCTGATAATCAGAAACTATAAAGAAGGCGGCTTGAAAGTTCCAGATATACTCGAAACTATAAAATCTCAAAAAGTATCATGGATAAGAAGGCTGTTTACAACAAATTCTAAATTCAACAATATCTTAAATAACATGGTAAAAAATACAAACCCAATAGAAATGGGCTCAAATTACTTGAAAACACACATCATCCCAAAACTTAAAAACCTTTTCTGGAAAGATGTTCTGGATGCTTGGGCTGATTTACAAGAACGGTATCCTTACACGAAATCTGACTTTGCAAACAGTATATTTGGGCAAATAACAATATAAAAAATGGAAACAAATCTATACTATATGAACACTACTTAAAAGCAAATGTAAAATTTATAAATGACGTACTAAAAGATGATGAATCCTTTCTGTCTTTCACTGAGTTTAAAGAGATGTATAGAGTAGAGACAAGTTTCTTAGAATATGCGGGATTAGTATCTTCAATAAAACAATATTCAAAGCAAGAAGCTACGCTATTGACAAAGCAAAGACATTTACCCTTTATTCCCCGAATGTAAAAATACTCTATGAAAATAAGAGAGGCTGCAATATTTTCTATACAACGCTACTAAACAAGGCTAAATCTATTCCAAGTTTAGGATATCAATGTAAATGGGAAAACGACCTTCATCACAGTTTTCCACCTGACTTATGGAATACCTATCACTTTATACCATTCAGAGCTGTTCATAACACTAATGAAAGATGATTTCAATATCGTATTGTCCACAGAATTCTCACAACCAATAAAGACTTATACAACTATAATATATTAGAATCACCACTATGTACATTTTGCAAGGCTGAAAAAGAAACAATTGTTCATTTGATGTTTGAATGCAGATACGTAAATAGGCTGTGGCAAGACCTTTTAAATTGGATTGAAGATAAAACATATACTATAAACCTGGATCCGAAAACAATCCTTTTGGGCTTTCATGAAAAACGTAACGATGTTCTTGAACTTGATATTTATCATAACAAAGGAATATAAACTCTGTCAAAAAAGAAACGCAACCCCTGTATTTTAGAGATTTTGATCTGAAGTTTTAGGACGACACGGCATTTTATTATTTAAGACAGAAGTCTGAAATTTGGCAGAATAATAACCCAGATGGGCATGTTTAAAATTGTCATTTCAAAAGTCATCTCACAGACACCAGTTTGTCACCAGGGGGCGTCTTTCTCAGTATCTCGTATGAGCACCACGCGCTGCAATCACTGCACGGCATCTCCTTGGACAAGAACGGATAAGACGCCGGATTCTTTCCTGGGAATGGCTCTCCACTCCTCCTGCAGTGCAACGGCGAGCTGTTGCAGCGTCTGTGGCGGCGGCTGACGTTGACGTACGCGTCGATCCAGAGTATCCCACAGGTGTTCAATAGGGTTGAGGTCTGGTGATTTAGAGGGTCATGGCAAGACACTGACGTTGGAATTCTGCAGAAAGTTCATTGTTGCACGTGCAGTATGAGGCCAGGCGTTGTCCCGTTGAAAATCTGTGTCTGTTGGTCAATAATCGGGAGAAGGTGAAGCTCTAACACGTGGTTGATGTAACGTTGGGCTGTCAGGTTCCCTGGAACGATCACCAAGTCTGATTTCTGGTTGTATGAGATGGTTCCCCAAACCATGACGCTTTCTCCGCCAAATCTGTCCACCTGTCGGACGCAGATGGGCGCAAAACGTTTATGACGTCTCCTA